TTCTTTGGAAGAGTGACGCGAGTGGACAGCCAAGCGGAAACAGGCAGACGATGGAGGCGCCCTGGGGAGCGTGCGCGGTCACGCACTGTGAGATTAACACCTGATGAAAAGTAATTGCAGGGCTACCGAGGATGCAAATGAGACCAAGCACGCTAAGGAATGGTCATTATCTTTATTCATCCACACTTGCTTCCAAACTACAATTAATGTACCTAACAAAGCAAATCATGCAAACAAAGATTAGAGGTTATACAAATTGAGGAAAGCAATGCAGGAATTTACACATCCATTTCACCTGTTACATTACCAAACGTTAACTGACAGCTGAATTGCCTCCGTGTTCTGTCCTTAGGTCCTTATATAGAAGGAAAAGCCATAACGTCCTTTTTTTTTTCACGATACAAATTTGGGGTAACTGATGTTCTTCAGTAAATGCTTTAAACATGGTATTGCTTTCAAAAACCAAAAACCAAAACCCAGATAGGAAAATCAATTTCAAATATTCCTGACCATCTATAAAAGAGATTCAGAAAGACTGTAATAGTAAGGATAGGAGGTCAATTTTTAGAAAATCTTTACTCAAAATAGGAACCACCCTCATGTGTAATTTTGAATAGTTCACTGAACCCTCTCAAAAAGGAATGACATTCTTCCAGAAAGAATATCAACAGAAATCTATGAACGATCACAAGAAATACTCCTAAAGTTGATCAGAAGAGACAAAGACAGTTTTATCAGAAAATGCAGAGCCACCTTTGTGTTACTTTAGAAAAAAAAAGGTTCTTATAAAGTGAACTGGATACGTATTTTCTGAAAAGTAGGATTCTGTCTACCCACATATGCGACAGCTATGAAACACACTAGTAGGCACGTTTTCTGCTGCTTCTTATTTCTTGGGATACTGAAGTAGTTCTCAGTTGCCCAGTGGGCAAAATGTTTAAAGGGCATCTTTGAATTTTCACCAGATGAGAGAGATCTCGGGATGACATAGGGAATCTTTCCACCGAAAGGTGGTCACAGAGCCTCACAGAGGAAGCCAGAGGGTTCCGGAGACCTCAGGAGTGCTACCCTAGGGCTGCACCAGGAAGGGGACAATACAGCCATCTTTCCTACCCTTGAAAATGTCTAAACCTCAGGCAATCATCCCCAGCGTCTATGAACAACAGGAAGAACGTCACCTACCAAGTCACACCTGCACTTGCCACCATTCATGCGGACACCCCCTACCCACCACCGGCCTGGGGAAGTCCTGCCGTGGGAAGCAGGTCACAGATGTCCTAGCTGACCCAGGCGGAGTCTTCCTTCAGGCTCTGTGTCATTGGAACTTTACGAAATTGTTATAGCTTCATTTTAAAAACTCATTTTAAAAGAATTATTAAAGTTCTTTATAAAAAGTACAAATAGCCCTAGTATGTTGTTCTATTGGAATTAACAAATTAATCTCTTCCTTTAGGATAAAAAAAAAGTCTTTGAGACTTGTGGACTTTATTGTAGGGTCATTTTAAGGCCATTTGATGTCTGCGACCTACATGGTTGTCAACCGACAGCTGATCATGCAGATGAGAGGCAGAGGGAGCAGTCACACACACACGCGGAGCCCACCCAGTCCTGATGTTACAGAACGAATGGCTGGCATCATTTCTGGATGTCTGCCTTCATCCACGCACAACTCAGGTAACCTTTTCTAATTTTCTGGAGCTTTCTAACAGCAGATATATATAT